TCAATCTAGTTTTATTACCAGCTAAAGGTCATCAGGGAAAAGAAAGTAAAGTCCATTTGGGTGGTACAGTTCATGGAAAAGAAGAACAGAGCAGAACATGGCAGTTAATGATAATTAACTGGTGTATTTGTACTCTCTCAGTCATACAGTCAGCTCGAAAACACTAAGTGTAGGTCCCATATGGGGAATCTGGCTTGAAATATGCACAAAAATAATACACAGAACAAAATAAAGAACAGAAAATACAATGAAAACAAATTACAAATAAGACTTCAAACAATTAGTTTCAATTATAGACAGTTACTTAGATAATCAATTAATTGTTTGCTCAGGTACCAGCTTCTTAAATATGATTATTTCTGCTTTTTTTCTGTTTTTATATCATTTTGGCGTTTTGGACTGGTGACTGGACAAAACAAGTAATTTGAAAATGTTACTCTTGGCTCTGGGAAATTGCAATGGATGTTGTTCACAATTTCCTGACATTTAATAAACCAACAAAAATAGTAAAAGTATTTCTGAAAAAAACAAAAAGAGGTAAAACAAATAAATAAAAACAGAAAAATCACCACAGATCCTCATTAAACCTTGTATATAGTTCCGTGTCTTCACTCAGGAGGACAGGGACGCCGCATTCAGGTGTTTATTCTTAGGTACAGGTGTCTTCACATACACTGCTGGATGTACATTCAGAACCATAGGAATGTACACACAAATATATACACACACACACATACACACAGGTGCAGTGTTATCAGAGGTCTTGCAGGCTTTGCAGGTCTTTGTGCCTTTCCGCTTAGCTGGATGGTGTCGATATTGGTGTGCGTGTGGGTGGATGTGTGGAAGTGTGTGTTTGTGTGTGATTGGTTGGCTGAGATGTAAAATCAGGGTTTAGCATCCTGACCAGGGCATAAGAGACTCAGTCCATCTGTATATAGTGCGTCTAAATCCCTGTCTCTAATGTCCACATGTGTTGGCTCTGTCTAATTGCTGGGAGTAAAGTAGGTAATATCTTTCCTTAAAAACATGGCCTCACTCCGGCCACACCAGAAAGGAGCCTCTGAACTCAGCAGTGAGTGCTAAGAATAGAAATTGAATAACTTAGACCTAGATTTGAATAGATTAGCTTGTATCCTCTGTTCCGCCTGCCACGGTGTGACCAGATTACCTCCACTCACTCCCCTAAAAGGGGGGGGGGGGTTCTCCAGAGGTGGCAACCCACCGCCTTTCACCCCTGCATCACATTATCATTACATTCCAGGAGCATTTTCTAGCTCTAAAGAGAAAATCAGGACTCCTACTGATTGTCTTCAGACTGATTGACTGACTGACAGGAGGAGATAGGAAGAGCCTCTGGGAATTGGACTGTGTGTGAGTGTGAGTCCTCACAGGGCGCGGGGTTAGGGCTTCGGTCTGAGTCTTTGTGAACTGGCAGACACAAAGGGGGCAGGAATCACATCTGGTTATTTGAAGGACCCCCCCCCACCCCCCCCACCCCCCCTTCCTCTGTAGCCTCCCTAACGGCACACATGCACACCTCCACCTTAAATGCTCTCCTAAGAACGATTGCTTTTCTTGTTCCTGTTCATGAGTGAAAGTAAACACTAATTAATTTCTTAACAATTTTGGAAATAGCACAGTTGTAATTCCCACATGAAAATAAGAGGATTAATAGTTAGGTCTCCTGCTCATTTTCCTATTCTGTTTGAGTGGACGTTCACCTTATAGCTATTTCATCTCTGTAATTCACGACTGTCTAATTAACCCTACATATTAACCTAATATGTACATACTGGCATGTTGCGCGCACACGCACCACAAGGGTCTGTTTGTTTTGGTATGAGCCCAGTAGTCTTGTGTTGTTTTGCGAGGCTGTTTCCTATGATAAAGCATGCAGAGTTGGTCCCCGGTGGGTCCAGTAACATATGCAAACCTCTCCCCTTTGCTGCAATAACATATGCAAAACAGCGCCGCTGGCCCCGGCCCCCACACTCCCACCACCCGTTACTGTTCAGTTCCCACCCCCTCTCTCTCACTCACACACACACACACACACACACACACACACACACACAGTTATCAAACACAATCCGAGAAGCAAACAAGCTTGTGTTTGTGTGTGTGTGTGTGTGTGTGTGTGTGTTCCTTCAGATTGTAGTCTGTAACAGTCTGAGCTTTGTGTTGGCCAAAGGATTATCACGGCTTTGCCACCAGCAGCTAAGGCAAGGAGCAGAGGAGAGCGGGGCTTAGAGAGACACAGTGTATGTGTTGGGACAACTGTGGGAAAACGTGTGTGTGTGTGTGTGTTTTTGAGAAAGAGAGAGAGAGAGTGCTCATGTGTCTGTGTGTATGCATGAGAGGCCACGGATGGCTGGTTGTCTGTGTCCACACAGCGAAGCCCTTAGGACCTTCTCAAACACCCTCCTACACACACATCCTAAATCGTCAGTCCTCTTCGCAGCTTCTGTCCTCTTTTTGTCTGTGAACAGCTTCAGAAGCTCTTCGTGTCATATCAGCAGGAAGTGGATCAGGTTCGGATCTCTCCTGCTGTCTTCGCACTCAGAAGACTCTTAGTTAAACACGGGCAGATGTTTTTAACGTAGCCCCCCTTGCTGTGAAGTGTCTGTCAAGCAAGTTTATGAATGAAAACGTAAGGGCCTCCAGGGCAATTTGGATGTACTATTTTTCATCAGGTTTAATAAGATTTGACTTCTGTCATGAACAGCATAGACTTACACTTATCCAAATGTTCACAAAACGATAAGTCTGCGGGTCACGCGGTGATTAATAGAGCATGAGCCAGAACGAATGTTGTTTTCAGAATTTTGTATGATTTGCCTCTTATTCTAGAGAATTACTGCAGATTCTTCAGCTTCAGGCCTCTGAAAAATAATTAGTTGATTTTAAGTAGAACTGCCAGTAGGCATTTGAAACGAGAGGTCGCAGGTAGACGATAATTTGTCAGGAGTCACAGCCACAGACCTACAATGTAAATTTTTTACCCTTTCATTTTAAAATTGTCACGTAATGAGTTTTCAGTCTGAAAAAACATCCACTGACATTCACATGGAAGCAGAGCCAGTCAGCAAGCTGCTCAGATGATGATGTGATTCGTTACCTTCGGAAGCCCCCTTATGGTGTCAACAGCTATTTATATCAAGTAAAGTAATGCATGACTTTGCGATGACAGAGCCGGTTTCTCTGATCAAAATTTAATCAGAAACTGATTTTGGTGGATGTTTTAGGAGATGTGTGACCTTTTCAGAACAGTTGCTGTGTTTATCCCAGTAGAAAATCAGAGTTAGTCAGGTGTAGGAATAGATTTGGGTTAATGCAGGACCTGAACGAATGTTCATTGAGGCTTGCCCAGCAATCATATGAATGAACCAGAGTTAGTGGACTGATTTGCCAGGACATTTTGACCTCCGATCACAAAATCACAATCAAACAAAATATCTCCGGCTTTTACAAAGAGGCGAAGATGAAATTTTATGCCGAATCAATGCTGAAAATATGCCTGCGTTATGCTGACTTTCATTGCACAGCCAGACTCTGTAGGATTCCTCTCCAAACCCCTGAGAAAGAAAGAGAGAGAAAGACACCAAACTGATTTGATCCCTCAGGCCCTTACCCTGTTAGCTATTTAGATGCCACCGATATGAAGCGCTGGATGAAAACAGAGAGCAGGAATGAGAGAGGGATGAGGGTTCATCCAGTTAATTAATATTGTATGAGGCAGACAACTCCTCACACGCACACGCATACAGACGCGCATTCACTCCAGGTTTTTCAGACAACTATCGCAGGTTGATGGGAGAATAGGAGGGGATTTCATTTCTTTTCTCTCTCTCTCTTTTTCTCTCTCTCTCTGTCTCTCGTGCTTTCATTCATTCTGTCTGTGTGCTGGATCAGAGTATGTGGAGATAACACAAGCCCAAGGTCAGGGAGGGAGAGACAGAGGGAGACCTACATCCAATTTACATGAGAGATGAATGGGAAGAGGGGCAGGAAGGATGGAGGTCGGGGGGCTTGAGACGGGGGACTGTGATCTCCTTAGGGTGCGTGTGTGTATTTGTGTGTGTGCGTTTGTGTATGTGTGTGTGCGTGCGCGTGCTCGCAAGAGGTCTGTGATCTCCTGGCCTTTGTGATGGAGATGGGCCCGGCCGGCCTGACCCGATAATGACGCGACGCTCTAATAGCATTCATCCTTTCTGCCGCAAAACTACTCAAGCGGAAAAGAGAGAGAGAGAGAGGGAGGAGGAGGAAAAACAAGTGTGAGGGGTAGATGTGGGGATGGAGAAGAGAGAGAAGAAGAAGGAGGAAGGGAGAGGAGAAGAAAAGGAGGGGAGGTTAGCTAAGCTATGTTTAAGAAATGACGTGGGGCACAAATCATTTGTAATCTTGGAATCAGGGCTGAGAGACGAAGGAGGGGGCACCTTAGATGAGTGTTAAGGTTCTGTGGTGTGTGTGTGTGTGTGTGTGTGTGTGTGTGTGTGTGTGTTTTAAAGAATAGCATGATGCATGTGTGTGTGTAACATTAGCAGTAAATGCACTGTGCCTGTGTCTCCTCTCTCTCTCTCTCTCTCTCTCTCCCTATATCAGTGTATATTTGCTGTGGGCACTGGAGCATGGAAGGCTTTCAGAACACTGGCCCATAGGGGAACGGGTGCCTGTGTCCAATACACACACACACACACACACACAGACGCTTACTTATCATACAGGGTCATTACAGGCCTCTAACTATAGCCCCGGTAATCACTGGTTTATATCAGCACCCGTATTCAGCGTACAATACACAGCAGCTCGTATCAATAGAGAGCATGGGAATGATGGTGGAGAAGAGGGAGAATGAGAGACAAATGGAAAGTTAAACCACTGTTATATTATATCCATCATGTTAACAGGGAAGAAAAGATTTTGAATTTATGTAAAACATTTTCTTACATCCTTATGTTTTCTTGTAACAAGCTTTTTAAATACTGTTTTTCTGTATTTAGACTAAGACAGGGCCTCCTGTGAAGCAGCACAGACAGGACAACGGTCGATCTCCTGCCTACTGCTACAACTGCTCCAGGAAAGGACACTTTGGCCATGTGAGTAGCTCACTAAAGTTTTTATTTAACAGCCTGCCATACTACATGTGTAGGTATTTGCCATTTTGCATACTTCTTTGTGGCCTATAGACCAAAATTAAACCCAGAAAGAGGGTAAAAAATATGAGCAGGAACTGTTAACAGTATGAGATTGATTTCAAAGTTTCTTTACTCCTGTACAAATGAAAACATTTCTTTAAGATGCTGGTAGAGCGCAGAATAAATCACAGTTAAGAAAGTTCAGTCGTAACCACTGTTCATATTCATATTTCTAGAAGTTATTCTTTATTTTCTGCATGAGACAAGAGCATGAGATTTGTGTGTGTTTTCCTCAGGCGTGTACAAGGCAGAAGATGTTCAATGGGGTGTTTGCCAGCATCCCGTTCATCAACCACTACGACACTGTGGAGGACATCAAGCGCAGACAGCACAGGTTGAAGCTGAAGGTTAAAGGTAGGTCTCACACAGACACAAACATCTGTTCGGCCTTTTACTGTGGCTGCAGTCATTAATTCTCTCTAAGTTGTGACTTTTGAGCAATATAAACAACTTGTGTGTTCATATTAGGGTTGTAATAGTACACCAAATCAAGTTTGATAAAGTATGTGCATTGGTTTAGGAGTCATGGTTTGTTGTTATCTCTAGAGTGGAAAAATTACATTTTCCTATTCTATTCTTTCAGTTTAAGTGAATGCCCTCAAACACTTGCATATGGTCATTAAAGTCATCTAAAAGAAAAATGCATGATGTCAGTATTCTCTGTTGTACGCTCAAATTCAATTACAAAATAGCAGAGCTCAGGCACTTTGAGCGAGATTGACATTTTAGGAAATGCGCTTATTCACTTACTTGCCGAATGCTACATGAGAAGACTGATAACACTACTGACCTCATTTTGGCTCTTGATGCCCATGGTGCGGTGACAACATCCCTGCATGTAGAAAAAATTAAATTATTATCATCAATTATCAATTATTATTATCATAATTATCATTAAATCCTTTGTGCTTCTGTTTCCTGCAGAACTGAAGAAAAACGGATGTTTCCCCACCACCTCCCAGACCCCTGTCACTCCAGGACCACCAAAGAAGAAACAGAAAATCAGCCATCATAAAAACAACCATCAACCTAACGACACACCTCACCACACCCCTAACAACCACAAACCCAGTCCCAGCCATATCTTTTTTAGTGTCGATGACTTTAGGAACACAACACCCAAAACAAGTAAGTTCAATAAGCACAAACAACAGGAAAGCACTGGCAGTGTGAAACCGTGGAAAGCCAAGAGGCCAGTTCCCACCTCGAGAGGCCCGCTCCCAACACCTAAACTAATTTTTGATGAAGCGGATGACTTTCCTAGAGGAGGAGGCAAAGGAGAAAAACTAGAGAAGAAGAGGAAGAAGAATAGAATGAAGAAAACAATGGAACTGCCACCAGAGGGACACAGAGGCAGCAGATCACACCGTCCCTGTTGGACTGTAACTGGTGGGATGCAGGGGTCAGAGTCTAGGCAAGAGAATGGAGAGAAGAAGACGAGGAAGAGGAGAAATCGAGACCGGAGGACTGCTGACAAAAAACTCTCTGCACCAATGTACCCAACGGATGAGAACCTGTTCATCATCAAACAGAGGAAACGCAACAGATAGCATCAGTATGTGTGTCAGAGGCCGTCAGGGCTGTGATCTTTTTGACCAGTGGTTATTTGTTCATGACATTTAGTGACATGACTCAGGTCTCACTGCAAACGACACCAGTTCCACTTTAGGGGTTCATAGGCCTTTTTTCACAGAAGACATTTTGACATGTCACAGCCGGAAAAGCTCGGATGTAAATAATAGCATAAATGACTGAAATCAGTTTAATGGCCTCAGTTTCAGGGTCCTTTTTATTGTGCATGCTGGCTCACTGTCATGACTAACTGAGACACTTGAATAGAATGGGGACATTGTTAAAAGACTGGTTCACAATTTTTCCAGGTGTCCATATGAACGTTGTTTATACTGGCCATTAAAAGATCCCTTTCTAATGCTCTTTCATCGTAAGGGATGGGAGGGGAAAAACTCACAGTCCTCCTCGTTTTGTGCAGAAATGTATGAAACTATTATGAAGCTTCAACATTGTGAGTTAGACGAATGAAGTGGATATCTTTCAGTCAGTTACAGTCTTTTTAGCACAACATGCCACTGCAGCTGAACAGGGAATCACTGGCCAGGAGAACAAAGGAGTGAATTTTGTACTATAATGGCAGGAACTTTGGAAGATATCCACTTGATTTCTCTAACTCAAACTGCTGAAGCCTCATATTAGCTTTAGATAAACTTCTAAAAACATTTCTGCACAAAATAAGGACTGCAGATTTTGTGCCCCAAAAATAGTGAACCTATCCTTTAATGCTCTAAGTAATATCTGTGCCTTTCCTACTCTTTGACAAGTCAACATTTGTGCTGTGAAAAAGGCCTTTTGTGTTTGACATTGTACTCTGAACTGAGCTTCAGTTTCACCCTACAGCCCCTATTCAAACTGAAGCATTGATTCATGACTGGAGATGGACATTTTAGTACGTGAGTCAAGTTAAGACTTCATACAGCTAGTTCATTAATGATTTTGTTAGACAACACGTCATTTCAGTTGAGCATTCTCAGTTAAACAGGATGACTTACATTGCTAATAGACATAAAGAGACAGTGAATAAATTGCATCAACCTACAGTGTTTACAATAGATTATTCATTAGAAGTATGTATGTATAAGTGTGTTGTAGTCATTGTCATCATCTTCATTCACATAAATTTCGGAACATTGAATTAAAACCAGACTCGCTCTTTGAAGTACAGTAAGAGAATTTCCTAGTGCCTCTGCTCTGAACGTAATTTTCAAGTTGTTGCTGCTGTTGGAACCAAAGGATGATGAATTTTTAAAACTACTCTTGGAATAGTGTCCTTTTTTCATTTAGAACTGAAGGGATGCCTTTTTTCTATAACACTCATTAATTTGTAAATTATCTAAATATATTAACATACTGTATTTATGTTTATTACATATGTTTGATTTGCAAATCTGAAGAAAGTCACTTCAGCAGTTCTTGTGTGATGTGGATAAGATTCATCACAGACATGCAGCCCTGACAATTTTAACCATCCAGTATTTGAATTGAGTTATTTATCTTATTTGTTGTGGTTGTAACACGATGAAACCTTAACATACAATGGAAGAGTGTAAGACGGGACTGTGATAACATGAATACTGATATTGATATTGATGAGACTGGGGGAAAATAAAACTTGAATCTTTATTTTTAGTTTTGTGATTCAGGAAGTGAAATCAGCTGCATCAGTTGTTGGCATTTGTTTAGTTGACAACTTTTAGTTTTTCAGTGATAATTCACATTGCATTTATGTTAATGATACATTAAACTCCTGTGGTCCCATTCACTGAATGTCTTTTTTTTCCCAATAGATATCTATATTATTATAGGCTCATGGAATTTCAGCCATGTCTCAAGTGTATCGTTAGTTTTCTTTCCTAACTAGAACTGAGGAAAAACAGGTGGTGCTCCTACAATTAAGTCATCCTTTTGATATAAATAACCTCATAAATAAATAAAAAATGTACGTTATCAACCAAGACCATGTGGGAAAGCAGCTTTCAAAATCAAATTCAGTTGTTTACTGTTGAGGAGCACTGGTGTTATACATTAGAGTTCCTGGTACAGTCTTCGGTTTATTTGTGTTTCCTTCATGTCTTTTCATCTGAGGACAAACAACAGCAGGTCACAAATTATTAATTGAAAATGGTGAACACATTCTAATCAAAAATGCAATTCAGTGCATGTATTTTGTCTTATTGCCTAAACATCACAATTTGATTGCTTTGTCCCAAAAAATAGTGTTGTCAGAATAATTTACCTAATGTTTTAAAAGTAAAATAACTCATTGGGAAGAGTTATATCACCATTTCAAATTATCTGATTATTACTAAGTGTAATCAGAATTTGCTTGTTGGTAGAGCTGTAGCTATTTAATATACAGTTGTGTGCAAATGCTTGGGCAATTCCTCAGTGACAGAAAAATTCCCTTTTAACAGTAAGAAACCTTGAGCAGAATCATGGGTGATCATGGGTGGCTTGCAATCACAGATCCAGACTTTAGGTCTACAGCCAACATGGTTGGTTGGGTCAAGGCAAGCCTCGGCCAGCACTAACCATGAGCTTGATCAAAAAGGACAGTTGTAAGTCTACTCTTGTTCGTGAAGAGGGTGTCTGCCTCCCTGACCCAAACTGGAAGATGACTCCATAGGAGAGTAGTCTGACAACTGAAGACTCTGCCTCCATTTCTAATTTTGGAGACTCTAGGAGCCACAGGCTCCACTAGAAACATGAAAGAATCTTCACATACAGGTGGTTTAGTACTTTAATAATTTCTCAATAATACAAAAAGATTTCCACTTTCTCCACCTTGAGGAACTGTCAGTGAAGCCCTCATGACTCAGTAATTCCCACACTTGCGGCGGCCCCTGAAACCATCAGACGAGAAACTCGTGGACGTGACGCATTACGTAGCTCCGCCCCGCGCCGTGGACATCAAAGCGTTCACGTTCACAGCCGCACTTTCTGTTTTCATTTGGGGGAAAGGGCTTCAGAGTGAGAGTGTTCACCTCGCACGACCACAGATATCGTCTCTGGACTCCGGAAAAGAAGCGTAATGGAAAACGGTTCCGTCTCAACTGGTGACACTGAGCTGGACCAGGCTGTCAGGCAGTGGCTGCAGTATGACAAGGTAAGCTGACAGCTAGCAAGCTAGCTCAGTGCGCTGTGGCAGTCCTGTACTGTGGTTAGTCTGCTAAATACATCAACTGTTACCTGGCGTCATGTAAGTAATTCAGTTTTAAGTCAAACCACTGTGTAGGAGTGATGTAGCATTATTTATAACATTCGGACAATAAGGAAGTATATTTTGTCCTAAACCACAGTGTAAAACACGACTAACTTAAAGTCACTGAAAGTGAAACTAATTGTATTGTATGGGAGTGCAATCATAGGTGGCACGCCTATGATTATAACTCCGTAACTTGCTCTTGGTCATTGAAAATGGCTTCATTTTACAAGTCTATATATTTCTAAAATCCTGGAGGAGACTATGTGATCTGGTACTACTGATGAGAAAGAAATAGTGTTAAATTGTCTCTTAATTTCTAGTTTATCATGGAAGGTGTTTTAGCCAGTTGAGTTTAACATGCAAAAATGTAAAATTTGTCAACAGGCAACCAAACAATCCACCATATACAGAGAATAAAACTATAAATAACAATTGAATATTGAATGAGTATTGACTTGGAGCAATTCTTCAAGCAAAGTTCCCTTTTGCCTTATAATTACTCCTAAATCACAAAGATCTTTACAGGAACCTTTCGAGGAAATTATTTGGAAATAACAGACCTGTAAAATAAAACCTTACTTCCTCTGAGTATAGGTTTATGTTATTACCATGGAATCTTAGTGCTAATTTGTGTTGTGAATACATTAAACAAATATAGAAGCTTCACATTTCATATATCCTCTCCCAAACGACAAAACGACAGGGGACTTCCTCTATACAGATGATATACTGATCATTAGTAATTTCACAGAGAAAAAGCTTGGTCACATGATGTTAAAACCATCTCACCAACACAAACAGAGTCATTCATGGCCTTAAATAGACATGGGATGCCACCAATAAGGTCACATTGGAAAAGGGTCCCATATTCATTAGTCTTAAGATAACTATGTTATGGCAGTTTGCTCAGTGGCCCATTTGAACAGGAGGCATCACGTGGACCCACTTATTGTATTTATGGTTGACATTTGACAACCAGACTGATTCTTACGTTTTTACTTTATTTAGGAAATGTACACATCATTCATCCACAAGAAAATGCACCACAGTTGGTAAAGAGATCTGAATTGTCCTAAACTCGATAAAAAGTTGTTACACAGGTGAATACATGTAGGACATCTTCTCAACATTTTGACATTGCTCGACACTTAAAATTTGTTATCTAAATTAGAGCTGAGACAATCAATCAAACAGTTGCCTGAAAAAAAATTAACAGCATTTATACAACATTTGTTTAATTTTCTCCATTTTATATGGATTTATATGGATTTTATATGGAACAGATTTAAATCAACATTTTTGTCATTGGCAAAGATTTGTTAAGAATTCTTGCCAAACATTTTGATAATCGATTTATTAATTTTTAAAGTAAGTAAGTAAAACAGCTAAAGATTCAGTTGTTCTAGCTTCTCAAATGTGAGCAGCTGTGATTTTACTTGGCTTCCTATGATAGTGAACTGAATACTTTGAGGTTTTGGACTGTTGGTCATACAAAACAAGACATTTGAATATGTCAACTTGAGCTTTGGGGCATTGTGATGAGAAGTTTTTCTGTATTAACTGATGATTTACTTACTAAACAAGTCAACAATAAAATAACTAGCAGATTAATCAGTAATGACAGTAACCATTACACTTAATTTTTTGAGCATTAACATCATAACGGACTAGAACTCGCTTTTTAGAAGTTACATAATAATAATGTGGGATTTATTCTTGTGTTTTTCTTCCCCAGAACCCAAAAACAGTGTCTATGGTGCAGGACCTGGCGAAGGAGGGAGCAGTGGAGGCTCTAAAGAAATGTTTCTCCTCCAGGATGGAGTTTGGTACAGCAGGTCTGAGAGCAGCCATGGGCCCCGGCATATCCTGTATGAATGACCTCACTATCATCCAGACTACACAGGTCAGTTAATAGATAACTACTATAGTCCACACATTAAGCATGAAGTCACATTGAAAGTCAGACCTACTCATTTTGACTCTAGTTCTGTGCTGTTTGAATCAGTCGACACACTCCAAACTCGCATCTTGTTTGACTGCGTAGCTCGCCACCATCTTTTAACCTAACATTGTTGGATCTCAGTGCAGCTGCTTTTCTCACCAGCTTCCTGTTGCTGTTTTTAAATGTCCACTGCAAGTTTAGCACTTCCTCCTCCTCAAATTTTCACTTACTTCATCAAATGTTTTCTTCTCTGAAAGGGTTTCTGTCGCTACTTGGAGAAGAGTTTTGGGAACCTAAAGGAGCGAGGGGTGGTGATTGGTTACGATGCCCGTGCCCACCCTCCCAGTGGGGGCAGCAGCAAGCGTTTTGCCAGCCTGGCTGCAGCTGTTTTCATCAGCCAAGGGGTTCCTGTCCACCTCTTCTCTGACATCACCCCTACACCGTTTGTGGTAATCACTTGAATTTCTATTATTTCCTCATTTGGGTTTTTTTGTTTTTTCTTTGGTCATTCAATCACAGACACAGTTGATAAAACACCTTAAAACAGAAGTATCATTCACATTTTATGTTTACATTAAAGCATGCTTTAAATCATCTCTGCAGGGTAAGAGAGAAACTGTCAGATCAGTTTGTCTGGTGTCGTGTTTGTTAGTGGGGCGGGCGACTGGGACAGAGGCTGCAGGGCAAATTCCATTTAAAAGGCTCACTTCCCCTTTGTATACTACATGTTGCATAATGTGCATATGATTCACCAGGGTATACTCCTTTAAAGACACTTTGACATGACTTTGTGTCTATACTTCACATGCCTACACTGTAGAGTGAAGCGTAAAACCATACAAGATCACTGCAGCCCAAAGATTTAATCTTGACTTGTTACTTAAGAGTGATAACACATCTTTCTTAGGTATAAATCCTTACAGCTATTTATTTTATGGAAATTTTAAACGCAGAATGACCCACAAGCCGACAGCCATACTACAAAAAATCAATTCTGAGGCCATTCAGGATTACTGCCTCGTTCATCATACTCACATTATATTACTCAATTTGTTTGTGTAATTGTAGGAACAGTGGGTAAGGCTCTTCATTTTGGTCTTTTCTTACAGATAAATACATAGTTTTTAATCAGTCAAGATCAGTTTAAACTGATTTTCACCTGAAGTTTATGTCCCCATGCATCTTTTTTTCCTACGTATATCTTAGTATATTTATTTTAAGGAATCAGTAGTAGATTTGCAATAAAGAAAAGTCTGGACACAGCAGGGTTGTGCTTCCACCAGCAGAAACTGAAAAAGAAAATGGAGAAATAAAGCAATAAAGCAATCCATCACAGTAATTAATGCTGGCTCACAGGCTGAAGTGATCTACACACTGATTTTTTTCTAGAACTGCCACTTGATTGTAATTACTTCCAGCCATTTACAGTTTTACGGTTCTCGTTGTGCGCTTAAAATATATATTATTTACACTCATTGAGGTGTACAAAATGTTAGAAACACCTTTCAATGCGATGTAGTCCAGCACAACTAACTACACCCTACTTAATAAAGCAGCCAGTGAGTGTATCTCTTAGTGCGATCTTTGAGTGTATTGGAAAGTGATCATTTCCTCTCGTTCTCCCTGAAGCCTTTCACAGTTTCCCATCTGGGTCTGTGTGCTGGTATCATGGTGACTGCCTCTCACAACCCCAAACAGGACAATGGCTACAAGGTAAAACATTTCAGGTTGCCGATAAACATAAGTGATTCATTAGGTCTTGTTCAGTGTTGTATCAGATATCATATCTATCTTTTACTGCTTCATCTCGGTCTCAGGTTTATTGGGAGAATGGCGCTCAGATTGTGTCTCCTCATGACAAAGGAATCTCCAAGGCCATAGAGGAGAACCTGGAGCCTTGGCCTGAGTCTTGGAATGCAGAGGAGGCCTTGAAGAGTCCCTTGCTTAAAGACCCCTATCAGGACACCCACACAGAATACTTCAAAGCCATCCAGAAACACTGTCATCACAGGTGCTGCACTGTTAAAACTACCTGTTGAGCGGAAAATATAACCCCTGCCGGCAGAGGTCATTCTGTGGAACTAGATTAACAGTGTTCATTGGCTGATTCTGTTCAAGTGCCAGACATTAACACAATGACTTCAGGTCATACTGGGACACGCAACACTACAGAGCTTAAATGTGTTAGAAAAGAACCCACATGTTTTTTATTGATATTGTTGACAGACTTACTCATCCACCATACAGATTAGCTACAAATTGTCATATTTGTCTGTTTTAGTTAACCAAGCAGACGGCTAAGAGAAAAAAACAACAAAAACAAACAAACAAACAGGACGGTCTGGTAACAACCTCACAATAACCTCAGCCATAGGTTTGATGAATACAAGTCAAGTGATCAAAGCCAAATTCACGATTCATAAAAAATAATGTTTTACATGTATTTGAAAAATCTTAAATCCAAGCCACCGCTCTCTTTGCATAAATTGTGCAACACATGATTAAGGGAACAAGTTGTAAACAAGTTAGCCCTTGAAGTGTTCCTCTGAAGTTCCCCAGAACCCACATGTTTTGACCGTAGCTTCTGTCTCCACAGGGGCATAAACAAGACTTCAGAGGTGAAAATTGTGCATACATCTGTGCACGGTGTCGGCCATGCGTTTGTCCAATCAGCTTACAAGGCATTTGACCTTCACCCGCCGTACGCTGTGGAAGAACAGAAAGATCCCGACCCAGAATTCCCCACTGTCAAATATCCCAATCCTGAGGAGGGAGAGGGAGTCCTGGTATGCACTGAACATTCACACAACGATGGCAGCACATGTAGAGTAGATGCCATGTTTTGGTTGAAGGTGTAATGTGCGTCTGTGTTTTGCAGACATTGTCGTTTGCACTGGCGGAGAGGGAGGGGGCCACTGTGGTGTTGGCAAATGATCCTGACGCTGATCGTCTGGCCATTGCTGAGAAGCAGGAGAGGTATGTAATTGTGTGCACTCAATATTGCATTAATTCTATTATACTAATCACACCCTTGAACAATGTTGAATTGGACAGACACATGTGCCATTTCACATATTTTTCCAAAACAGTTTTTAAATGTCCCAAATGAATCAGTAGCTGAGTTGATGGGGCAGGTTCAAGGACAGTGAGGTCATCAGAGAAGTGAGTTAGAACCATGGCTGTAGCCAGAGCCTGTTAGAAATACTAAGGTCCAAAGTCAGAGAGAACTACATCTCTTTAAGAATTTTTTAACCAGCCTTTTAAACATTTAATTATTTGTTTACATACAATAATATATTCTACAGGGTTTATCACTTACATCACTGTTGAAATGCTTTTTTAAAGCCTCCACGCAGCCAAGAATATACAGGAAAATTCAAAGTAAGAAAATTGATTTTATTTATTATTTTGCCATAAACAGCAAAACTTTAAATATGTTAAGCCCTCAAGATATCAGAATTCAGACCAGAGTAAGCTCAGAGTAATTGTAGATTGTGAATTCCTTCTCAGGTCAATAAAACATACTTTCTGGAATCCATGTCAAGGACATGACCTCAGTGTCCTCAAAAGTAGTTACAGCCCTGAATGAAACACATGGTCATTATAATGCCAGTGGAAATTGGATTATGTTTGTTTGAATGCTTGCATTTCTCTGACCTCTGTCCGTCTCTCCCTGTGTCAGTGGACAGTGGCGAGTGTTCAGTGGTAATGAGTTGGGAGCGTTGCTTGGTTGGTGGATGTTCCGCTGCTGGAAACAGCAAAACTCTGACGCTGCTGCTGTGAAAAACCTCTACATGCTGTCAAGCACTGTCTCATCCAAGATACTGCGCGCCATAGCTCTCAAGGAGGGCTTCCACTTTGAGGTAACACAATCAAAATCAAGACTGTAATTTTATACAAATGTGAATTAAATCACAAAACATGCTGAATGGGCAGCATTAAAACTCAAATACGCAGTGTAATCTGCATAAATAATGCTCATTGTACTTGCTTGGGTTTCACTGATTTTAGACTAAAAACTTTTTTAACTCATCTAAACTGATCTGATCAGAATTTATTTTCTCCTCCTTTTATGTCTCCATGCATCCAAAAGTTGCAATGTTTCCTGCTACAAGAAGACAGCCTGTACTCCAAAATGCAGTTAAGCCTGCCTCTTGTAATGAAGCAGCTCAATGCTTCCAGTAATAGCATTTTAAGATAAAATGGGAATAAAGTGGTGTCTAATGGATATTAACAATACAGTTAAATGCACTCTATTATAGGTAGGCTTCATCATTGCAAATGTTGCTGGGCTAATAGTTTCAAACCACACTTCACACTTACTGTCACCACTGTTTGGACAGGAAACATTAACAGGGTTCAAGTGGATGGGGAACAGAGCCAGAGACCTTTTGGACCAGGGCAAGACTGTCCTCTTTGCCTTTGAAGAGGCCATAGGTATGCACACACATACATACTTAAAAGTTTGGCGTACATAATGTTCTCCACAATGTCAAAAGCTTAATTTGATTTGCCAAAAAGTATTCATGTGAGGTCAATTTATCTGGGATCAGTTGACTGGCAGGTACAGCTTACTATTTCAGTGTTAACAAAATCCTTTTGCCAGCTCACAAGGTCTAAACTGTCCCCTTGCTTAATGATAGACGACAGGCTGAGAAGGGTGTGCGTGGAAGTAAATTTTGGCCTCGTAGATTTACATTCTTATGGAACAGTTGTAGCAAAGTTCATTATGTCAGCGTATTATCATATTATAGATTAAACATAATATGTACAAAAACATTTACAAAGTTTTGTTGCCATTTCAGCACTTTTCATTTAAACAGTGTTTTAATTAAAACATAGAATGGTAAAGTTTCTATAGAACGCCAAATGTGCAGTTTCCTCACTAATCTCTTTATATCTCAACAATATCTTTATATGTCAACAAAAGATGTTTTTCCTCGCACTGAGCTTTTTAGATAAAAATACAGTAAATTTTTCCTATCGCTAGACGATTGTCATACAGTAATATAACTGCTCTATTAGTACATCATATAATACTCAACACCACACCTAGCTGTAGGTGTAGCTCGCATCACACCCAGTAATTTACAGCTTCAGTCTCAAAAGTAACGAGATGATTGAGCTGTTTGGTGCTTCAGGGTTGAAACAACCTGTTCTGTACTTCAGACACTGCGCCGTAAAAGAAAACAGGAGCATTACCTATAGAAAGAATCACAGCAGAAGTCACGGATTCTCATGGTGTAATTAGTATAACCTGCATGACCTTTAGCATAACAATTTCTCCTGTTTAGGCCCCAGTTGGTGGCCACCAAAGGCAGCTGTTTAAACTCTTCAGAGATTTCTTTTGCAGCCTCCTTCAGCAGACTGAAGCGAGTAGCAGTCAGCCTCTACTGAAGTGTTTTTACACTGGTTTTCTAACCTTGTTGTACAGTCTTGGTTACTTGTTAAAGGAAAACATCAATCATTTGAATCAGTAAAAGAATGAAAACATCAGACTTGTATTGGGAACTTGTGAGGACCTTGTTCTCAGTTATTTGCAGCTATTTGTAAAAAACACTTCAGTAGAGGCCTGACTGCTGACTCGCTTCAAGTATGGCTGAGACGGAGCTGTCAAGAGAGAATCTCTGAAGAGTTTAAACAGCTGCTCCTTGGTGTGCCACCGACTGGGGGACGGGCTAAACAGTGAGAAATTGATCTATGCTCAACAGGTTCATGCAGTTATACTATACAATTGACATCCATCGAGAAATCCGTGACTCTTAGCTTGTGACCATTGCCCTTTCTATAGGGCCTTACTGCCTTCCGTGTTTCTCCTTTTACGGCGCTAGTGTCATGGAAGTATCAGAAAGGTTGTTTCACCCCTGAAGCACCAAAACAGGCTCATATCCATCGTGTTACTTTGAGACTGAAAGCATCGTAAATTATGGGTTGTGATGCGAAGCCTACACGCCTACAAGTCTAGGTTGGGTGTTGAGTATTATATATCGTTACTTAATTAGAGCAGTTATGATTACTGTATGACAATCGTCTAGCAGATGGAAAATTTACTGTATTTTTATCTCACAAAAGCTCAGTGCGAAGGAAAAACATCTTTTTTGACATACTATAAAGTATTGTGTTGAGATACTAAAGAGATTAGTGAGGAAACTGCCACACTTTTGGCCGTTCTGAGTAGAACCTTGTACCTATTCTATGTTTAATTAATTAACACTGTTTAAATGAAAAGTGCTGAAATGGCAAACAAAACTTTAGTAAATGGTTTTTGTACATATTATGTTTAATCTATAATATGATAACTACGCTGACATAATGAACCTTTGCTACAACCTGTTCCCATAAGAATGTAAATCTTACAGAGGCCAAAATTTACTTCCACCGCACAACCCTTCTCAGGCCTGTCGTCTATCATTAAGCAAGGGGCAGTTATAGACCCTTGGTGAGGCTGGCCACAAAGGACTTTTGTATAGACACTTGAAATAGTAAGGAACTGTTAGCGCTGCAGTCAACTGAATCCCAGATAAATTGGACCTCACCATGAATACTTTTTGCCAATCAAATTAGCTTTTGACATTGTTGGCCGAACATTATGTACGCCAAACTTTTAAGTATTGTTATCGTGTGTGCATACCTAATGGCCTTTCAAAGGCCAAAGAAGGAACAGTCCTTGAGCCTGGTCCAAAAGGTCTTCTGGCTCTGTTCCCCAATCCACTTGAACCCTGTTTAATGTTTCCTGTCCAAACAGTTTGGTGACATTGTAAGTGTTGAAGTGTGGTTTGAAACTATCTAGCCCCCGCACACTTTGCGCAATGATGAAGCCCTACCTACTAATACGATGCATTTACTGTCATTTGTGTTAATATCCATTAGAACACACTTTATGTCCCAATTTTATCTTAAAGAGTGTTACGTCTTAATAGGCTGGGAGTGACGCGGGATGTGGGAGTGAGATCAGTGTGACTTATTCCTTGCACGTTCCAGGCATCAATGCAGAGACCGTAGGTCGTGTATAACACTTTGGCTATTTTTATGTTTGTATAAGAGGACTTACCGATTTGGGTCAGTGTCTTCTTTTGTAGCAGGAAACATTTGCAACTTTTATGATTGGAGACATAAAAGGATAGGAGCAAAAATGACGAAAATGTCTGATCAAGAGAGGCTTGCAGAGATATTTTTAATCGAGTTTAAAAAGTATTTAGGTCCTAAAATCAGTTGAAACCCAAGCCAAGTACAATGAGGCATTAATTGTATGCAGTATTACATTCTTGCCGATATTTGAGTTTTTAAATGCTGCCGCTGGCTCCATATCAGGCATGTTTGGGATTTTAAAATTCACATTTTGTATAAAAATTATAGTCTTGTTTTGATTTGTGTCTCCTCAAAGTTGGAAGCCCTCCTTGAGACTATGGCGCGCAAGTTATCTTGGAATGAGACAGGTGCTTGACAAGCCATGTAAGGTTTTCACCAGACAAGCAGCGGTCAGAGTTTGGCTCGTTTCTCAGCAGCCGGGAAATCCACCAATCCAGCAACGCGTCCCAATCCTTCATTCCGACTGAACACTCCGCCATCTGGTCCACTGACACAGGAGAGACCTATAGGTCAGAGAGTGCAAGCATTCAAAACAAACATAACTCCAATTTCACTGGCATTATATAATGACCCATGAGTGTTTCATCATTCCAGGGCTTGTAACTACTTTTGAGGGACACTGAGGTATGTCCTTGACATGAGTTCCAGAAGTATGTTTAATTGACTGAGAAGGATTCACAATCTACAAATTACTCTGAGGCTGTAACTCTGGTGCTATAATCTGATATTTCTTGAGGGCTTAACATAATTTCAAAGTTTTGCTGTTTTATGGCAATAATAATAAAAATCCAATTCTTTCTTACTTTGAATTCTCTTCCGTAATATTTCTTGCTGAACGTGTGAGGCTTTAAAAAGAGCATTTACAACAAGTGAATGGTAAGTGATAGATACCCTGTAGAATATATCTATTGTATGTAACAAATAATTAAATGTTAACAAGGCTGGTTAAAAACATTCTTAAAAGAGATGTAGTTCTCTCTGACTCTTGGGACCTAGTAATTTCTAAACAGGCTTCTGAGCGTACAGCCATGGTTCTAACTCACGTACTTCTCTGATGACACTCACTGTGCCTTGAACCTGCCCCCATTCAACTCACTACTGATTCATTTGCGGACCTATTTAAAAATGTTTTGGAACAAATATTGTGAAATGGCACTGTGCTCGTCCAATTCACATTGTCTTAGCAAGGGTGCTGATTAGATATACATAGATATCTAATTTGCTACATAATTGAGATGCACACACATTACCATTACACCTCTACTGCTTCTCAGCAATGGGCCAGCCGATCGATCAGCGTCAGGAATTCATTTGCCACACCACACGTGGCCCCCTCCCTCTCAGCACAGTGCAAACGACAATGTCTGCAACGAACAAAAACAAGCGCACATTACAAACCTTCAAACCAAAACATTGGCATCTACAATACTACATGTGCTTTGCCATCGTTGTGTGAATGTTCAGATGCAGATACCAGGACTTCCTGCTCCCTTCCTCATGGATTTGGGATATATTTGACAGTGGGGAATTCTCTGGGTCGGGATCTTTCTTCGTTCTTTCCACAGCGATACGGCAGGGTGAAAGGTCAAATGCCTTGTAAGCTGGATTGGACAACGCGCATGGCCGACCACCGTGCCACTTTGATGTATCGCTACAATTTTCACCTACTGAGTCTTGTTTATGCCCGCCTGTGGAGACAGCAGTACGGTCAAAACATGTGGGTTCTGGGGAAATTTCAGAGGAAGCACTTTCAAGGCTAACTTGTTTACAACTTTGTTCCCATGAATACAATCATGACATCGTTAAGCAATTTTGCTCAAAAAGAGAGTGGTTGGCTTGGATTTAAGATAATTAGTTTGTTTCAAATACATCTGTAAAACATTATTTTTTTCTGTGAACTTTGTTGTGACTATTGGCGAATCACTTTGACTTGTATTCATCAAACCTATGGCTGAGGTTATTGTGAAGGTTGTTACCCAAGACCGTCCTGTTTTTGGTTTGTTTTTTGTTGTTTTTTTCTCTCTAGCCCTCTGCTTGGTTAAACTAAAACAGACAATATTTGACAATTTGTGAGCTAAATCTTGTATGCGCTGGATGAAAGTAAAGTCCTGTCATACAACTATCAATAAATCATGTGGGCTTCTTTTTCTAACACATTTAAGCTCTGTAGTTTGCGTGTCCAGTATGACCTGAGTCATTGTTGTTAGATGTTTGGCAAGCTTGAACAGAATCATGCCATAATGAACACTGTTAATCTAGTATCCACGATGAGACGCTCTCGCCGGCAGGGAGTTTATATTTTCCGCTCAACAGGTGTTTTAACAGACTTGCTAGCACCTGTGATGACAGTGTTTCTGGGATGCTTTGAAGTATTAACTGTGTGGGTGTCCTGATAGGCGGTCATTTAAGCCAAGGGCCCTGCTTCAAAGGCCGCTCT